TAGAAACATTACCATTAAATGGATTGCCTTGAAGTCTTCACATACCTATTTCCAAGTATTGCGGATGAGCCTTACGAAAAATCAGCATCAAATCTGTAAAACTCATTGAATAAATGTTTTTTTACCAATTGTTGTTGTAAACCTCAAAAATGAGAGTTTTGCTAAAAATCACATTTTCGTTTTTTTCTTCTAAACGGCTCCAAGTTTTTTCTTTAAACTTCCTACATCAATAGACCAGAGCTTTATCTAAATGGTAATGAAATTTTTACAGCTTGTCCTATCCAAGTTTTGGAGAAAACATTTTTTAAAGTGAGGTGTACCTAAAGAGCTCACCCCGCTAGAAATAATTAATTCAACATCGGTCGACAACAACGCTCTCGGACATTCAACAATGTTAACTTCGGGACAGGCTCGGCAGAATATCTGCATAAACACGATGACATTGAAGATGTCGTTATGCAAATATTCTCCCGAACTTAACGATACGGAACGACCGAGAGCGTTGTTGTCGACCGACAAGGTCAGTACTGCGGAGTATTATGATTGTAATAACGACAGCACACACCGCCAGACCTTCATCGAACAGTATTTGATGCCACTTCATTACAGCACTGAACAAGATGACTGATCCAAACAACGAAGCTGTTATTGTACCACTGATGAACCTACTGAGAGCCTTGCACGAGCTGTTTAGAATGGTGTATGACATTATACAACTGCTGCTGTTCAACCAAGTACAAGAAAGAGATGAGGGTAATGAAAAAATACCTGAAGAAAATGAAGAAAACGACTAAGATACTGGTAAGGAAAATAGCTGGATTTACATTATTTTCAGCGGTCAATAATCCAGTAAATAATATTTTATTCAACTTAACCTGCTACTATACAGTTTTCAGTGCGCAAATTGTTATGAACTGCTCGGCGCTACATGATCGCTGAAGTGAAGGGAAACCCACGGAAATTCAAAGACATTCATAAAAGAATACAAAACAAGTCCCTAGAAAAAGTCAAAATCAGAATATTGTTAAATTGTCAGAACTGTTTTCATCTTGTAGTGAAATGCAACATGTTTCAGAAAAAGTATTGTCAACAACGCACAGTGATCTTCACATTTCTACTTTCATATTTTGTTCACGTGACCGTTCATGTCCCATGTCCCATGATGCATTGCATGATTTTAATATTTGAACTTTTGATTTCTTTACAGACCGAGGACCGCCATTAGATATTAAAGCAATAACTAGCAGCTGTAGAAATAACATATAAGATACCAGCAAGTAGAGATGTTGCTCAGAAAGATCCTTAATCCTGGCGATGCATGTACAAAAATATTAACAATACTGTCGTGATATGTCAACCTAACATCCTCCTTGGGAAAAAGTGGAATAATGTATAAAGTAGATCTAACGATTGTCGTACATCTTGATAGATTTTTCCTACAGGATTTGCATTTTGATTTTTTGTTATAGTGCAAATTAGTAGTATTTTGATACA